CCTGGTTTAGCCCTTCCTTTGCTCTTTTGCTTAAGAACTTGATTAAATTAAGCATTATGAATCACAGGGTTATTGGCGTTACAAGAGCTGTGCCTATTATGAGATTTTCCCTTTTCTGTTGCATCATGTTTTAAAGAGCCTGTGTTAGACTATTTTCTGATCTTTGTTATCACTAGAATCATTTGGATAATTTCAACTCTGGAAAAGTAAATCTCTACTAATGAAAAGGTAGATGTTAAAACCAAAATCACCGCTTCATGACATCACTGTTAAACAAAAGAGACTGAAATGTAATCAGTGACATATAACTGGCCATGGGGAAGGTGGCACATTGTTTCTCAATTCATTTCTTGGTAAATTAATGGTTGACAAGATCTGATGATTTAGCCCTGGTTTAGTACTTGTTTGGGCCTAATTTTGTCTTGTGTATTTCTTCAGTTCTGCTTTACTCCTCCCTGGTTTAGTCCTGTATTTGCCTTGGTTTTGTTCTGGTTTATTTCCGGTTTAGTCCGGATTTAGCCCTGGTTCAGTACTTGTTTGGCACTAGTTTAGTCCTGTATTTCTTTAGATCTGCTTTAGCCTTGTTTTAGTCCTGGTTTAGTCCTGGTGTAATCCTAGTTTGGTACCGATTTAATGCTGGTATGGTCCTGGTTTGATCCTGGTTTGGTTCTAGTTTGGCCCTGGTCTGGTCCCGGTATGGTCCTGGTATCGTCGCAGTTTTTTTTAGTAATGGTATGGTCGTGATTTAGTCCTGGTTTGGTCCTAGTTTGGTCATGGTTTGGTCTTGGTTTGGTCTTGGTTTGGTCTTGGTTTGGTCTTGGTTTGGTCTTGGTTTGGTCTTGGTTTGGTCCTGGTTTGGTCCTAGTTTGGTCATGGTTTGGTCATGGTTTGGTCTTGGTATGGTCCTGGTTTAGTCCTGGTTTGGTCCCAGTTTGGTAATGGTTTAGTACTGGTATGGTCATGGTTTAGTCCTGGTGTAGCCCTGGTTCAGTCCTGGTTTAGTCCTGGTGTAGTCCTGGTGTAGTCCTGGTGTAGTCCTGGTGTAGTCCTGGTGTAGTCCTGGTTTAGACCTGGTTTAAACAAAAGCGATTAAAATAGAAAAGCGATTGTGGATTGTAATCAGACATATTACTGACCATGGGGGAGTCGGCACATTGTGATTACAGTGACGCACACGAGCCCAGGTCTGAATTCATTTGTTAAATTTATGGTTGACGAGATCTGATCCAGCTGTCAGATACAAGTTGATGGATGGATGGAAGGAGGAAGTTATTACCGACGGAGCTGTCAGCAAACGATCACTGTAAAAAATTCAAATTGGTGTTGATGAAATGTTAATGAATAAAAATACAATATAAAAGTCATGGGTTTGTGTGTCCATCTCTATCATATGCTGTCTCTTTTCGGGTTAGCCTTCCACAGTGTCTCATTAAACTTGTCTATCTCCATGGATACAAGCTCAGCCATGCCAAATTACAGGTCAGCTCTTCGGAGTGTTGACATAGTAAGAATGCATGTTTTTCAATGCAATTTTTATCAGTAAAATCATGTGTACTCGAAAACGTGCAAAATGGATCAATACCATACTGTGAAACATTAAAGTAATAACATTTTCATGGAGACAAGAACTTAGTCGACCCCTCACCAGAAACCTTACGTGACGCAGTGTGTAACCTGTCTGCTGGAGGGTCTGCTATCCGCTTGTCTCCATGGAAATGTTGTTGCTTTGTCTGGAATGTCCCGGTATGGCATTAAACAAATCCATATTGCATTTACTCAATAACATGGGGTTTTATTGACTTCATAAACTTTATTCTTACTGTGAGTGGGCTCACCCTAGTCAGGCTCGCACCACCTAATGCCTCCGCTCAATTTCATTTATCTCCAGCGACTAGGTCAGGAATCAGAAGACACTAGACCAGGGATGTCCAACCTTTTTCCTCCGGTGAGCTCCTTTACAGAAGAAAAATGCCAGAGAGCTATTCATTTTAGCGGCCACAAGAAATTGAGATGATTTTAAGAAAGAGGGCGAGACTTTGGGAACAGTTAGATGCCTATAAAACATAAACTGTTGTCCATTCATTAGTGCACAAAGTTGGGTTTTAAAATGACACACGTAACATAGTAATAGTCATGTAATTAACCACATTTTTGTTATTCAGCACAATAGTATAATTCCGAAAACCCTTGGCGAGCTACTTGGAAAGGGCTGGAGAGCTACTTGTAGCTCCCGAGCTGCAGGTTGGAGACCCCTGCACTAGACGGTTTGCAAGAACCCCGGAAGTGCGAGTCCGGGCACCAGCCAATCAGTGAAGAGCCATACAATCTGTGTTGGCAACAATTCCTGAGATCGAGGATTTAAAGTTGGAATAAAGAGAATGTTTGGTGAATTTTATCAAGGGGAAAGATGTTATTGCCCTTCTTCCTACAGGAATTGGGAAAAGCTTAATATACCAGTTAGCCCCGTTAGCAACGCATTACATACGTCACAACCAAATAGCAGCGATTGGTTAAATTTAAAAAAGTACCCGCCTACTGTCAAGTGAACAAATTCTAATGCTGCGAGGTCAGATGGTGCCACTTATCCTTATGGCATCACCTGCTGTTTCTGTAGAGATAAATAAGTGCAATGCCGTACTGTGGAACATTCGAAGCAATACCTCCGTGGCGAGAACAATGTGACTGACCTTCCACCAGAAAAGTTACACAGTCCACCTTTAAGTGATCAGAATTATGTTTCCACTACATGAACATTCTCTTATTTGCGATGTTAAAAATGTAAACTATTTCAGGAAGGAGAGTTCTTGGCTACTGTGACAACGGAACTTCCCTGGATTGACGACATTTCAAACATATTTTAATGTGATGGTTGATAAAGATCTTTAATAAACAGAAATGTCTAGATCTCATGATTGAGATTTAGACAACAAGAAGACGTGTAATGACAGTTCAGAATGTTTTTGTCAGCTGCATGGTTATAATCTATAACACTTATAGATCATGGTTTCATATTTTACACATTTTAAATAACAATACTTGTCCAAAATGACTTAAGTCTTGTAAAACTTCTCCCCACGCTAACAGCTTCTTCTCACAGTTTGTTATAAGCTTGAAAAAATGCACTTTGAACTTTGACATAGCACCTTAAAGGGCTCATATTATGCTATTATATGATTTTTCTTATAATGTTTCCTCATCAAAAACATACCTGGAGTTGTGTTTTGTTTCATTCGCACACGTTTAACACATGAATCCTCCTCTCAAGTACTTTATCTTTTGTCAAATAAGCCAGCCTAACCTAAACCAGTTCATTCACTTTCGGTTGAAGAATTGCAGCACTGATAGTAACATTTCACAGTTATGCAATTCTGCTGAATCCTACGTGTATCACATATCACTGTACTTGATTTTTATCTTGAAAAATGCGACTAAAATAAATTTGTTTACAGTAATTCAAAGTTCCGCATTCATAGCATCCTAATTATTCACTGTGATGAGTTTATAAATATTTTTCAGAACTCTCAAAGACCAGAGCTGAATTATTTTGACATTACGAGCTGCGTATGCAATAGATCTGCACTGGGGCAAGAAACAATGAGCTCAAGTATAGAGGAAAAATCTATAACAGGGCCTTCAAGAGAAAGAAAAAAAAAGTAAGAGTTGGGTGTGTCTGGGGAGAGAAAGGGGAAACAATTTTTTTTGAGGCAATGGCAACTTGAATAGGGGAAAATTTACAATGATTTGCATTAAAAGTCCTACATTATGCAAAATGAACTGTTGTTACCACATCACAAACATACCTAGAGTTGTGTTTTGTTTCTTTCACACATGTTCCTTTATCCTTTGTTATTAGTCTGACTGAATACCAGCTCGAGTGTCCCAGCGCAAGTGTCCCATTCTCTCGGTGGGAACGTCCCCCTCCTCCTTTCAGCCGCCCCCATCTCTTGGGCGGCACAAGGGTAACTGCTGTGCTCAGGGGAGAGGTGACATTCTCGCCGGCCTTTAGTCGGCCGCGTCACGCACTGTGATGTACTAAGTTAGAAAATCAGCATTCTATATCATAGCAAAAGGAGAAATTCAATTGGTCAACTGGACAAAACTTGTACAGTTGACAAATTTACTTTCTCCTTTTGCCATGGATTCTACCTGGACGACTGAGGGAATTTACACATATTCTATATCATAATCAAATTAAATATGAATGTAGTGAGACCAAACATTGGGCCTTGTTTATGTCATTTTATCGATCATTCCAAAGCGGGACACATTTTTTCAGTCTGTAATATCAATATAATCTTCATTTGCAGGCAGAAGTTTACTATAAAATTATATTTTAAAATACTTTTTTCTTGTTCCTCATGTCCCATAGCATCACTAACTGTTGATTTGAGAAGAAATATTACTTATTTCCTTACTTACTTGCCACAAACATAATTTGTAAGTAGTGCAACACAAGAAAAAAGCTTAAAGCTTAAAAAACTACAGAATTTGTTCAATTTTGAGATACATATATATAATTATTTTTATGTATATAGATTAAGTAACTTAGTTTCATAAAGGGTACAATTCAAAGGAACTTTCCTGCCAGGGGGACTTTCCAGCTGATTTCTGTCTGACTACATCCTCAAAGGTCAAAATGCTCTGTTTCACATTGTGATGTCATGAATTGGGGTTTTTTCAAGTTGGCAGCTACCTTTTACCTTTAGTTCAGAAGAACTATGCGGGGTATGTGTGAATGAAAACAAACAAAACATTAAACAAACCAGACCTCCAGGTATGTTTGTGATGAGGAAACATTATAACACATTGATGATTTTTTCTTTTGGCCTTGACTGAAACTCATCTCATGACTTGCTTAAAAACAACAATAACAAACCCATTGACTTCTGTTCACCTGTTTGCTCAGATGTGAAGACCCGCCCACTTTAGCTCCACCCACCTGGAGAGTAGCCAATACTAATTCCAGTACATCTCTATCCAGGAAATAAAACATCACTAACCATCAGTCTTTTCTTCAGTAGAATGCTTTCCTTTTAGCAACACGCATACATGGGATCAACTCAGGTTTGATAATCATTTTAACCCAATTCTCATTTTCATAGCCAAGATTATTTACAGTTAAGATCAAGTTTGGATTTAGAAAGGCTAAAGTTAATTAACAATTTTAGTAACACTTATTTGTTAACTATAATAACTCTTTACATGTATACATTTACATAAATCAAATGCTGATTTTGAAATAGTTTAATGGAAAACACACTTCCACCTTGTGATGTCATGTGGCACTTTCAAACTCTATGCACATCTATTAGATGGTGGATTGAGGATTATTTTGGCCTTGGAAGTGCCAATCTTTACTGAACAAAGGTGTAAGGTAGATGTTAACTTGACAGCTTCATGACATCACAAGTTGGAACAGAGCATTTTGAGCTTTGGAAATGTAGCCAGACTAATAATAATGAGTTAGTTAACCATGTGTAAATGAAACAAAAGAAAACTCCAGGTATGTTTTGATGAGAAAACAACATTATAACATGGTTAAAAGCTCACAAGAGTCAAATCTGAGTACTATGGGACGTTTAATATTACCCAACTATGCAGTACTAGACTAAATTTACATTGTATAACTTCTCTGCTGTAGGGTTCATTATCTAGTAGGCTCCATAGGAATGTTATTTCTTTGCCTTGAATGTTACACAATATGGCATTAAACTTATTTTCATGGTCACACCTCAAAAAGTCACACCAAAAGTGTGCAAAAGAGAATGCATGATTTTCAAGGTTAATGCCATGGAACATTCAAGCCAACAAAATAACAAGCAGAGACAAGCAGTGGCAGAAATGTTATATAGTAGATTTTTAAATGTTTTTACTAGACTTAAATGTTTGCTAAATAGACACATAATGTAGGATTTTGTTGTTCTTGTCTTCTGGTCTTTCTGGCAGTAAAGATTTTTCTATTCTTGTGTTTTTTAGTCTCAGAGCTGAGGATGGATCCCGGTGAAGATGAAGACAGCCCCCGGCCACAGAGGTGAGCACTGCCAAGATTTTTTAACAGTATTGGACTTTTAAATGAACTGTGCCAGTGAACAGCCGGCAGCCAGAGTGTTTTTAATCGGTGAAACATTGAATGGGTATTTGGTTAACCATGAACAGCCTTAGTTCTAACAGTATTTGGTCCTCACATACCTCATGCATTCCAAACATAATTATTCACTGCCAAGAATTTATAATCACTTTTCACAATAATGCTAACAACATTTACACAACAAGTTTCCTGATTCCGGACAATTCAACAGTTTCTAATTAGATGCAGACAGCAGAGAGCACACAGAGGACATATTTAACATGTCCACCATGTCCACAAGATTCTTATCCTGATTAGACATCGACAGATATATCAGTTGGTTTTGGTTGATCTACTGCCAAAATAAAGCACACAAAGCTTTATTTTAACACTTTAATATGAAGAAATAACAGCACAAAATGTGACTACACAGCTCTCTGAAAGGTTTGTTGTAAACAAAAGAAAAACATATCTGCTTTGATCAAATGATCAACTGAGCTTATAGGCCATCAGCTGCTCTGGATTCCAAAGAAGTCTGTATCGGCATCGACCATAAAACAACCCATTTCGGTCGCTCTCTAGTCCCAACAATAAATCACTAAATATATTACTTCATGAAACAGCAGTGAGAGAAGGCACTTACAGAATGTTCACTGTTCATCGACATCATTGACACTTTGTATAGGGCAGAGCTGTTAGAGCCCCACCTTCTATATCTCTTTGCACTGAACAGTCCCAGGAGATTTAGCAATTTACAGCCATCATTCACAGTTTTTCTTCTTGAGATGGCAGTGAATAATAATTTTACTACAGGATATTCTTTGATCAGTTGATGTGTGTCTTTTTTGCAGGACTTCTTTTAAATCCATGGATGATGGACATAAGCCTGACTTGCAAAAACAAGGGACACACAGTCCAAAGTAGGTTCACATCAGTACTATTTAAATGATAATAAATGGGACTAAACCAGGTCTGAATCAGGACTGATCCAGGTCTTATCCAGGTCTAAACCAGTTCTAAACTAGGACTAATCCAGGTCTAAACTAGAATTGTTCCAGGCCTGAACTAAGTCTTACCAATAACTAAACCAGGTCAAATCGAGGTCTGAACCAGGACTAAACCAGTTCTGAACCAGTTCTGAACCAGGTCTAAGTCAGGACTAAATCAGGTCTAAACCAAATCTAAACTAGGACTAAATCTGGCCTAAACTAAGTTGTAGCCAGAAATAAATGAGGTCTGATCCAGATCTAAACCAGGACTAAACCAGGTCTAAACTAGAATTGTTCCAGGCCTAAATTAAGTCTTACAAATAACTAAACCAGGTCAAATCGAGGTCTGAACCAGGACTAAATCAGATCTGAACCAGGACTGAACCAAGTCTAAACTAGGACTGAACCAGGCTTAAACTAGGTCATAGCCAAAACTAAATGTCTGAAACAACACTACACCAGGTTTAAGCTAAGCCAAGTCTTCTTTGTATCTTCAGACGGCCTGCTAGGAGTAAAGACTCTATGGGAAAAGCGCGCCGTTTACCGTAAGACAAATAAAAACTTAACTTTAATGTTACAGCATTTGACTAATGTAAGAATGGCTTTATTTTACACAATGTATGAATCATTTTTAGGAGACAGAGAAGCTCCAGTGAAGATCTGGATGGCTCTTCTAAGGTTTTAAATGTCTAATATGTGAACTTGAAATCTTTACTGTCATAAAAATGTAATTGTTTTTCAGCAGTTGTCTGGACTGAGCTTGGACAGAGAACATGAAAATGAAGGAGCAGACAACAAAGTTCAGAGGTTGTATTATATTTTCTATTATTTATTACTTACTTAAAGATGCACTGTGCAAATTTTCTGGAGGAGGATCTGCCACCTGCTTTTCTCCGTGGAAATGTTATGGCTTTGTCTGGAATGTTGCACAGTTTGGCATCAAACATTTCTATTATTAATCAATCCAGTCCAAGTTACAAGTCAGATCTGTGGAGAGGCAACTCTGCTCATAGTCAGAATGCCTGTTTTTGTAGGCGTTTTTGAGCTATAAAACCACCTATAATTGAATAAATATAAGATAGTTCTGTTTAATGTCATACTGTGGAACATTCTAAGCAGAGCAATGACATCAATAAAAACAAGAAAAAAGTTACATAATCCACCTTTAACTTTAAAATCATGGATGTGTGACAAGTAAAAAAAAATCAATTTTATGTTCTATCACAATTTCAATTTGATTAAATTCTTGTACAATACTATAATTAGGGCTGGGTATCATTCAGAAGTTGTCAATACGATACATACCTCAATACATAGGCCACGATATGATACATATCTCGATACAGTGCACTTTCGATTCGATATGATACATTTGAAATGTATTCGATACGGTTCAATAAAAAATAAAAGCTAAATCATGGTTGTGATACTTTGTTAAACCACTTCCTGCGTAAAGTTAAAATGAAACACAAACATTTTAATCATCAAAACAGTGAGTTTCCTTCCTCTGAACAATCAACAAATCTATAGCGCTGAAACCAAATAATTTTGTAAAATATACCAAAAAATACTCAATCAATACAGCAGCCCATGATATCGATACTGTATCATCACATTAAACATTGATATATATGGATATTTCAATATTTTTTAACACCCCTAACTATAATTCAATCAAGAGGAAACTAAAATATATAAAGTACTGGTGATAATGGTGTGAAACGTCAACGTTAGTATTAAACATAAATGCCCAGAATCACAATATGGCCAAAGCATGTTGTCATAGCTCAATCTCAATTTGATTTTTATTATCAAATCTTTCAGAACAATGTATATTTGAAAAAACTAAACACTTCTCCACTTCTCATTTAGATGTTCATTTAAAAGTCATGACTCTAAGAACACACCTGTAGTGTATTTCAAGGAGCATCCCCACAGTCAACAGTAAGTACAGAGATTATATTTTAACCATTAGAGCAAAATAAATGTATGAAATATAAATAGGGATGTAACAATAATCGAAATATTGTGATACCGTATTGTCAAATTTCTCACAATAATATCGTGGACCATCACAATCAAATTACAAGTCTCTTTGCTTAAATTAAGAGTTATGGTGCAGCATTAGTTAAAAAACATGAAGGGAACTACATAGACCATGATCCTTTGCTCCATTTCGGTGTAGACTGCACGAAGATATAACAGTTCTAAGCACTTTTAAGTCTCAGTTCTTTGGATTAAGTCTTGTCAAGGCATGTTGAGAGGAAAAAGTGGCATATTAACAGTTTTGTTGCCTCCACAAAATATCGCAATAAATATCGTACTGTGAGATGTATATCGTAAAAATATTGTACCAAGAGATTTGGATATTGTTACATCCCTAATCGTGAGCCTTCCCACCATATCGTGAGCTTTCTGAAGATATCACAATAAACATCGTACCGTGAGGTTCATACCGTGACAATATTGTATCATGAGACTTGGATATCGTTATATCCCTAAATATAAATATATGAAATGTCTTTTTTTTAACAGAGAGGAGCAAAACATCTCCAATGACGACCTGGGCAGCGTTTTTAAGGTCTATAAGTCAGGGCTGGGTGATATGTTTCGATTTTATTTTTACTCATTAAGTTGATTTTGCATAAGGGCCAATATTATACTATTTTCTGATGTATGCTATTATGTGGTTTCCTCATCACAAACACAAACTAGAGCTGTGTTTTGTTTCATTCACACATTTAACACACAAGCCCTGCAAGTGCTCCACAGTGTTTTTAAATTCCATACGCTTTTGCTAGAATCATTTGCATAATTTCAGCGCTGGAACTTCCGATCTTTACTGAACTAAAGATATAAGGTAGCTGTTAAAATGACCATCTCAAGGTGGAACAGACCTTTTGGAACAGAGCTTTAGAGATGTAGACTCTAAAGGATTACTCAAACATGGATCAATGAAACAAAGCACAACTCCTCATATGTTTGTGATGTGGTAACACATTATAACATTAAAGCTCTCTAGAGTCCATTTAAGTCAAATATAGGACCTTTAACTGTAACTGGGATATTCCTTTGACATTCTTGTCTGTTGCAGGAGCTGGAGGAGAGAATCCTGTGTTATGTAAAGAAGGAGCTGAGCAGACTGCACGGGGTCCTGACCTCCGATTACCCAGAATGCTTAGAGCTGCAGAGGGTGGCCGAGGAGCAGAGGGTCAAAATGGAGGCTGTTCGCTCACTAACTCTCTGCTTCCTCCAAGACATGAAGCGTGATGATGTGGCAGAGCGTCTACAGACCAGTATTACAATTTCTAATCAATCATAAAGTTCCATATTATACTTAACAATGAGGACTAAGGTTGTCAAAAGTATCAAAAATACTAACTACTAACAGATACTAATCCATATTAATCGATACTGAAATCACTGTAGGTTGGTATATTTCCAATATACTTTATTTAGATAAGCACCTGGCTTTAATATTTTCCACTTCGTCTTTGCCAACTGTGCTCCGCTGTAACTGCTCAGGAGCCACTTTTAGCATAACAGTGAGTGTTGTCTTACATTTACCACAGCCACACTTTGACAAATATGGATGATGCTATTTTTAAAGCACTGAACCCACTCCATTCAGTCTCTAAATTTGTTTGTCCATTACAATAAGTTATAATGCATGTACAAGCGAATAATCACTGGTGCCACATAAGAACGTTAGAATGCTACTATTGTAAACACAGGCGCTGCACTGATATCCTTTCTGAACTATAAAAACCTTCAAGAGTCCTAAATATTTTTATAGTTCATGTGACACTCACATATGGTTAAAATTAAGCTTAATGTGAAGAACAGTTTGGAATTTTTTTAGGGCCTCATTTCGTAGTTAGCCACAGTGTTGGAGACATGTGGAGACACTTCTTAAAATATTCCATCCAGTCCTTGTATTTGCAGAGGTCGCTGGTGCTAGGCTAGTGCATGTCAATGGCCATAGTTAGCCTGCTGCTAAAAACAGTCTTACCCACTCCACAAAGCACCCGAAGCAAATCAGTTTATATGCCAGACTATTGATGTCTGTGTTGATAGAATAATGTTTGAAATAAATCTAAACTTGCATCGCATGAATCGTCGCATGTTGAGGGACTATTTTCTCATATATCAGTTCGCCACTGCCAAGCTTTCTATCAGGAAGTACAACTCACTGCTGCTGTTCAGACATAAATCCTTCAAATGCAAGGTTGGTTTTACTTCTAAAATTATTCTATAAACACAGACATTCAACAGTCGGGGTTATAATTGTTTTGCTTCAGGTGTTTTGTGGAGTGGATAAGACTGTTTTTAGCAGCAGGATAACTATGGCCATTGACATGCACTAGCCTAGCACCAGCGACCTCTGCAAATACAAGGACTGGATGGAATTTTTACAAAAGTATCTCCACACACCTCCAACACTCTGGCTCACTGGGAAATGAGAACCTAAGTCCAAAATTCAAAACTGTCTCTTTAATGTGCTTCTGCTACTGGCACCTAGTAGCGAACAGATACCCGATACTGCTTTTGGTATCAGTATCGGTGTATCACTAGATTGAGTACTGAGTCTATATTACATAATATGTCCCCTTAAAAATCAATACTGATTGTGAAGAAGAGATGGGGCCACTGAAATAACAATGAAAGTTAAGAGCCAAAAGTAGCAGATAGATTAGCTGATGGTTCATACAGTATTCTTGGTTGAATTAACACTTCAGCTTAAAGACTGAAAAGTATAATATGGAACCAAAGCAAAATGCCCCATGCTTTTAAATCTTACATGTAACTTTTCTGTTCATTCAGAGAAAAGTTTTGAGGACTGTCAGAGGAAACTGAAGTGTAACTTGAAGCAGAGGTTCCAGTCTGTGTTTGAGGGCGTGGCTAAAGCAGGAAGTCCCACCTTCCTCAATCAGATCTACACAGAGCTCTACATCAGCGAGGGAGGGGCCGCGGATGTCAATCAGGAACATGAGGTCAGACTATGGCACATTTACTTCAATGGGTTTTATCACAGTCGGTTTTAATAGATCCATGTTAGGCGAGCCCATTGTCAGTAACTACACCAGAAGTTGTAATCGCATCTTTTCCTGGTTTGTGACGTAAGTGTGAACAGAGCCTATTGTGTTAGGATTTTAGTGGGAAAAAATTAGATAAAAATGACATCAATGCAGAGTTACCACAAACCAGTATCTGTGTGGAGAGTGATCTGGTTAATTATTAACTGATCATAATTTCAAACCTGTTTAATCCCATAGGTTAGGCAAATTGAAACAGCCTCCAGAAAACAGGACAGACCAGAGACCACCATCACCTGTGAAGACATCTTTAAAGGCCCCGCCCAAAGACCACAGGAACCAATCAGAGCAAAGCTGAAAAAGGCCAGACCAATCCGCACAGTTCTCACAAAGGGTGTGGCTGGCATTGGTAAAACAGTATTGACTCAGAAGTTCAGTCTGGACTGGGCTGAGGACAGATCTAACCAGGACATACAGCTACTGTTTCCCATCACCTTCAGAGCTCTGAACGTGCTCAGCAATCAGAGCTTCAGTCTGGAGGAGCTCTTACAGCACTTCTTTGGAGAAGACAGCCAAACACGCTGCAGCTTCCAACAGCTAAAGGTGAGTCATGGGCAGCTCTTCAGTTTAGGGACCACATGTTGGTCACTAGCTAAGTGGGAATTGGTAAATCTCCTCAGAGGGGCCTTACTTCCCTCTGTCTGCCTGTGGATAACAACAAGAACCACAGCAGCCAATCAGATTATGGCTCAGTGCATCTCCATGGTGACAGAGGTCAGTAATTATGATGCCAAATTGTGGCAGTGTTCATTTTGTAAACTATTGGTATGTTAGTGGTTACTCAGCAATTACTATTTATAAAAAAAATAAAAAATTAAAGAACACAGTGTTCCCCCATCATACGCACCGAGAGTTGCATTTTGTTTTATTCATATCATTTGATGAATTCTGTTTAGGAAGTCCTTCTGAGCTCTACAAAAAAATAAATGAATTTTCCAGGACTTGTATTGTCATTGACCTTTACAGTACATTTTAAATTACTTGCGTGACAATTTTGAACCCTACAAGTAGGACAGAGATTCTGAATAATTTGAATAATAACTACAGAGCAGTTCAAGGAAATAGGGGGTAGGTGAAAACTATAATTTTCTGACTACTCAAGGTTTGAGTGCAGGACAATACGTGATTACTCAACATCTGTGAATCATTGAAATACAACTCTGAGGATACACATAAAACATGGTTAAGTCACTGATTTTGCATTTCTACTTCTCTAACAGAATAACCTCATGGTGTTTATCCTGGACGGTCTGGATGAGTGCAGACTGCACTTAGACTTTTCCAGAACCCCAGAGCTGAGCGACCCTACTGTACCCGCGCCAGTGGAGGTGCTGCTGGTAAACCTGATCAGAGGGACCCTACTCCCCTCTGCCCACCTCTGGATAACCACAAGACCCGCTGCAGCCAATCAGATTCCAGCTCAGTGCATCTCCATGGTCACAGAGGTTGGCAATAATAACTATTATGTTATCATCAACGAAATTAAAACATGTTATGACATTTTCTTGACAACTGAGTTTTGATAAAAACTAAACTACATTTTAATCCTAATATTGTATATTTTATGGGTGTTACATATTGTTACATGTTATAGATTGACTCCACAAACTTGCCATACTAATATTATGGGTTAAAGTCCTCTCAACTGATGAACAATCACATCTTTGGGCTTGAATAAAGGCACCACTTTCTGAAGCTATTGTGAAAAATGCATTTCATTTTGTTTGTCTGTTGACAGAGAAGTCATTGCATATTTTGTTGTTTCATGTGGATAGGCCCAGTAATGACAGAGATATGAACCATAAACCAGGTCAACAAATCTGCAATCTGACAGCTAAACACTTACAATAAACAGTACAAAAAATTATTTCATAAACAGAAATTCAAGGAGGAGCAAAGAGGAGAGACTCAGAGCATCAAAAACAAAAGTGACACATATAAAACATGTTAAAACGTTGTTTGCAGTGAATATAGTGTTTTCAAAACAATAAAAAGTAGCATGGTAATCTATATGTTATGTGTTAGCAGTAGAAGTAAAATGCCCCCCTCTTAATATAATTTTAGAATAATTGTACAATTGTCTCTTCTTGAATTCTTGTATTGAATGCCTCAGGGGTTATGTAGTTGGTATATGTATGTATTTTGACTTTGTACCTCTGAAAATGTTTATTTCATCAATAAAATGAAAATATAATGATTGTGCTTTGCAGGTACGTGGGTTCACAGACTCACAGAAGGAGCAGTACTTCTCAAAGCGTTTCAGAGACAAGGCGAGTGCTGTGATCGCTCATATTCAAACCTGCCACAGCCTCTACAACATGTGTCATATGCCCATATTCTGCTGGATCACTGCTACAGGTATAGTAAGGCTTAATACAGTTTTAATCAAGATTCAGTCCTCTTTCAGTAAAAGCATGTGGTTTGGAAGAGTAACTTTGGAGGAAGAAATTTGATATATATATATATTTTTTTTTATGTTCTGAACATTCTAGGCAAAGCAATGACCTACCCATAGAAACAAGCAGGTGACAGACCCTCTACCCCTAAATCTTAATTTGTTTGTTTGGTCCAAAGTTATTCCTCAATTACCTATAATGAATTCTGAGCATCCTAATTCTTCAATGCAATGACTTTATAAGCTTTTCAAAACATTTAGGAGTAAACTAACAACAACTAATATGCTAACACGCACTTCCTGATTATCGGACAGTAAAACGCTTTATAATTAAATGGAGACAATACACAGCGGTCAGAGTTGCTTCCACAATACATCTGTCCTGGAGCAAGACAAATCTAGCTTTGTATACATTTTAATAAGTTCATGTAAAGTTAATGAAATTTAACTACTTTCTGCGTGCCTGTGTTTATTACCACAGTCCTAGAGCATTTCCTTAGGTCCTGTCCCAGAGGAGAGCTGCCTCACACCCTCACTCAGCTCTACGTGCACTTCCTGGTGGTTCAGGCTAAAGTGACGCAGGTGAAATACGAGGGCGGCAGTGAAGAGGACAGAGCCTGGACACCTGAGAGGAGGAGGGTGGTGGAGGGGCTGGGGAGGCTGGCCTTTGAGCAGCTGCAGAAGGGAAATCTGGTTTTCTACGAGTCCGACCTGGAGGACAGTGACATCAACCCCACTGCAGCCTCAGTGTACTCAGGAGTGTTCACACAGGTCTTCAGAGAGGAGCCTGGAATCTACCAGGTAAGGCAAAAAAGGACAATTTTCTTAAAGCCAGCCCACAAATTTTGATTTTAACATGATTTTTGTTTGTGTAGCTGTGCAAATTGTGAGGCCCTGAGCAGTTTTTAAACTTTTAAAATGTTTATGGTACATTTATATTTTGGGATTTTGACCAACTAAAAAGTGCCGCTTGTACAGTTAAAGACTGATGGATTTTGTGATTTGAGTAGTTTGTTTTTCCATGGGAACCCTGCTTGGAGATAGCTGTGCTAAACAGTTAGCTCTGAAATGATAAAGACCGTTTACAACAATGCAGTGGGCTTTCTACACCAAGCATGGTAGAAGATGTTTCAGAGGAAACACTTGGAGGGAAGGCCCCATCTCATCACTTGTTCAGGGCAAAAAAAAACAAAAAATGTGTACATGAATCATGATAAATATCAAAATTGGGATATGACTCAAAGAATATTGTGATATTTGTTTTTCATTCTAACTATACTGTCTATACTGTATTCTAACTAAAGTTTAAGGTAATACACTTAAAATCCGCTCTTTCACCAGGACAGAGTCTACTGCTTCGTCCATCTGAGTGTGCAGGAGTTTATGGCCGCCCTGTACGTTCACCAGACTTTCCTCAGCTCTGGCTTCAACCTGCTCTGCCCCAAAGGCAAAACAGACTCACTCCGAAAACCTAAACCCAAACTGAAGCACCTCCACCGTGCCGCCATTGACCAGGCCTTAGACAGCCCCAACGGACACCTGGACCTGTTCCTGCGCTTCCTGCTCGGACTGTCTCTGCCCACCAATCACAGCCTTCTGCATGGACTACTTCCTGGTCAGAGGTCGGTAGTATAAGTCAGTATAATTTCTCGTCCTGAGTACTAACTTAGATTTGCCTCACACTTTGTACACTACTACTACTACTGTTTACTATACAAGTAGTAGTCTGATTTTAGATACTTTTGACAACCATATGCTCTACCCATGTCTGTTCCTTGTAGTTCCTCCTCCCACCTGCAGAACACAGCAGAGTACATCAAGAGTAAAATCCATGAGAGTGACTGTGCAGAGAGGAGTCTGAACCTGTTCCACTGTTTGAATGAACTGAACGAGCGCTCTCTGCTAGAGGAGGTGCACCAGTCCCTGAGCTCTGGAGCCTTGAGCAGAGGCAGAGGACTGTCTACTGCTCAGTGGAACGCCCTGGTCTTTATTTTACTCACGTCTGAACAACAGCTGGAGGTTTTTGATCTGAAGAAATACTCCGCAACAGAGCAGGCACTGTTGAGGCTGCTGCCAGTTGTCCAAGCATCACGAAAATCTGTGTGAGTAATGGTTTGTGGTATCAGTATCTTATAGAAGGAGAATTTTTATTTAATTATAATGCTGTTCCCTCATCAATTCTATATGTCCATGCATGTTTGAGTAATCTTGCAACCTCTCCTGGGAGTTATTTGGATCTATTTAAACCCACTTAATACAATATATTTGTATTAAGTGGTATGTATTACATGGTAAGTAGTATACTGTAGAAGGCTCAGCTCACAAGCCTACAACACCCATTCTTCTGCATGACAATTTTTCATTAATATACAATACAGTAACAGTAGCATGATACCAAACAATACATGACAACTTAACAAACCGTCATTTTTCCAATAGAGCATGATGTAAACACAAACTATTTTCAGATCATGAACTTTTCATTAGTTTAAAATACTCCAGTTGTCTTTTTTAAAAAATTATTTTGATCTTTGGCTTTGGTCCGCTCTGCTCCATTCTAGCTACTCTCACTCTGATTGGTCAGAGAGGTCAGATAGTATGCAAGCTTTTGCTGGGGAAGAGCACTACTATCCAAAATAAAGCCATGTGGTCTTATAGGCATTGTGGTGCTCTAGACACCACAATGCCTAGTCTAGTGTTTCCCAAACTTTTTTTCAGGGGACCCATATTTTTAAAGTCACAAACCTTTGCGACTCAATCGACAGACATTATTCATAAATCACAAAATAAAGATGGATTTGACCATTATTGAACATTAATGGGGATATTTTATTGTTGACTGAGTGATCATGTCTCTCTGAAAAATTGAGTATTATTCAAGTTATAAACAATGAAAAACAGTCATTGAACCAGCAATAAAAGATACCTATAAGAAGCCTATTTGGACATTAAATGTAGCCCATTTCTTTTTCTTTTCAACACTCAGTTGAACCAGCAATATTGGAGCCGAATAGTCTGTAGCATTGTATGTTGCAGGCCTACAAGCAGATTGTGACAAGCTGACCCAAAAAAAATACCTCTTGCGACCCACCTGAGAGTCATGACCCAGTCTTTGGGCAACAATGCTTTAAATTGTGACAGCGTGTTAAAACCATGTTCCTCTTTTAATCCTTCTTGGTCATGCTGAGTGGTGCATTCAATCAATCACAGTGAAGCATCAACTCTCGGATTTGGTTATCTCTTAAGGGAAACTTAAAACTTCAGAAAATCAAAGTTGTAAAAAACTAACACTGACAAGCATCCACTCTGTATCATACTTTATTATGCAATAAGAATCATCTCTACCTGACCTCTCCTCTCTCCTCAGCCTGAGCAGCAGCAACCTAACAGAGCGCAGCTGTGAGTCCCTCTCCTTGGTCCTCTCCTCCTCCTCTTCCTCCCTGACTCACCTGGACCTCAGTAACAACCCTCTGAAGGACGCTGGAGTACAGAGACTGTGTGATGGACTCAAGAGCACCCACTGCAGGCTGGAGCAGCTCAGGTCAGACACATCTTAAGTTTTGACAATATATGTGGTCTACTGTTAAAAAAAAAAAAAAAAAAAAACTGCAGAAAAACTACAACTAAATGCAACTTTAGTTCAGTTTTTTGCATTGTGGCTATAAAATTAGTAGATCAATAAAAACATGAATGGAAGTCTAACCATTTGGGATTCAGTAAAACCTACCTCAATATCAAAATGTATGATTATGTTTTCAGACTGTGTGGTTGTCTGATCTCTGGAGAGGGCTGTGTATCCTTGGCCTCTGCTCTCATGTCAAACCCGTCACACCTGAGAGAGCTGGACCTAAGCTTCAACCACCCAGGACCACAGGGGGGCAAGTTTCTGCTGGCTCTGCAGACAGATACTGACTGCAGACTCGAGACACTACGGTAAACACTGATCGTATAAATACAAGACTACGAGTATAAGTACACAGGTAAAGGCACTGCATGTGTGAAAGATACTATTAACAGTTTTTCTTTCAGACTGGAGCCAGGAGGACCTCACTGCCTCAAACCAGGACCCAGGAGATGTGAGTGTCTACAGATAAGCAATCTAATTTGTTTTAAGCCGCAATGGGTAACTTTCTTGTGATAAAAAATCTGCAATAATAAAAGCATAAAACACGGAAGAAGTGAGAGCTTCAGGGGATGGTATCTTAGCTCAGAGTCCAGTGCTCCTCGAGACTCAAAAGCTAACAGTGAAGATGACCATGCTTGTAGTATAAAAACTTACTGTGAGAGTAAAAAGCAGTCAAAAATCTGAGGTACTAGGGCTGAAAGAAAAAACTGAATTGCGATTTAAAAAAATATATATTTTTTTTACACATATTGCGATTTCGATTTCATCCACGATTTTTTTCAAATCAAGTTTCAGTACACATGAACATTTGCAAATATCACAGAAACTTACATCACACCAGAGTCCTGCACCAGGTCGGGTACCTGCAGCTGCCCAGTGTGACTACTACTGTCAAAATCACTAACGTTTTATATTAAAATGATCATCATTATTATTACTGTTACTAATCTGCATAAATAAACTCAACTTAACAACATATAAACCATAACCACTCTAGAGCCACATCAGCCTATTTGACATTATAATGTGTTTAATGAAGCTTTGCCACATTTGTTTACATCTTATAGAAACAAAACTTAAAAGTGCATGGCTCATTTCCTGTTTTGTCATTTAATTAAACTATAAGTGAAAAAACTGCTCTTTCCTTGTACGCAGATGCAGTTCAGCTTTTGTCAGACTAAAGGACACGACTCAGTGGAATATGAGTGTTCTTTCTGTGACAGAGGGGGGATGATGATGATGCTAATGCTGAGTCTGTTCTGTTTGGATATCGCGTTGGAGATGGTTCATGTTTTCAGACATCATACGTGTGCAGGTTTAGTGCAGCTCTTTATGTTGCAGTAAGCAGGATACTGCGTATACATACATCATGACAAAACTGGAATACTCAAAACACCCGATCATAACCGGGACACTGATGTGCATCTAAACACTCTCATTGAGTGGTACAGTGATCTCCAAGGAGGTGCCAGAGCTGAAACATGGGACTGTGAGTCCACAAATCCAGTGTTTGCACTGTCAGACGCAGCCTTGTCTCCTTACGCTCACTCACATGCATCCTTACTGTGAGTGGGTAAAACTACCACAAAACAAAACAGATTATTTTAAGTTAATTCATTGTATTTTCGCTTTCGATTTTCAACGTCTTTGTAATTGAATATAGAAATATTTGAATAACGACTGCATAGCTCTAGCCTAAACCTAAATTTTTTATGTTTTCTCTTTCCTCAGATTTCTGCTCCCTCTCCTTAGACCCAAACACCGCCCACCCAAACGTTCACCTCTCAAACCTCAACACCAAAGCCACACTGGTGAACCTGGACCTACCTTACCCAGACCTCCAGGGTCGATTTGACCACTGGTACCAAGTCCTGTGCTCTGCCCCCCTGCCAGAGCGCTCTTACTGGGAGGTAGAGTGGAGCGGAGTGGTCTACATATCTGTGGCGTATGAAAAAATCACACGCAAAGGAGAAACTGATGAATGCTTGTTTGGATTTAACGATTCGTCCTGGAGTTTGTCTTGTTCCGAAGCTGGGTTTTCGGTTTGGTACAACAGAAACCCCACGCATCTCCTGAACGCTTCCCCTTCGCGTTTTGGGCGGATAGGGGTGTTTGTGGACTGGCCTGCTGGTAGTCTGTCATTTTTTAAAGTGTCATCAGATCAGCTCACTCACCTCTACACCTGTAACACAGTATTCACAGAGCTGCTGGTCCCTGGGTTTACACTCAATTCAGTCGACTCCACTGTGAGGCTGTGTGATCTGATGAATGGATGAGTTGCAATGTTGAATGGAGTTATGACCAATTGATACTTTGCAGCGGGGCAAATCTGCATGTATGTCTGTGGAGCGATGTTCAGCCGTTACTATGGTGCTCACATTAGCAAACACAGCCTGAACTCAAAAATGCAAAACAGACATTTGTATTTTCAGGAACCTGTGATTAGTATGAGTGTTCATGGTCCTGTTTTGGTGTTTAATTTCCAACAAAAAAAGTGAGTGTGACTAAAAACTGAAAAACTGATGCTAGCACAAAATCAGCTCACCTGTTGTAGTTCCAGCTAAATCAGTTTTTATATTCAGATTGTGTAGAAACAAAACTCAGATTTACTGTAAGTCTAACTGGAGTAACAGAGCTCATACAGAATAGAGCCTTCAGTTGATCACCTCCTCAGGGAATGTTGAAGACATCAGAAGACAAGTGAACAATGAATGGATACTGGTGATATGGATGAAAAGAAAGACAAGTTTCTGGATATGGCACATTGAGGCAAACTACACTATTATACTTTTTCCTTCTTTGATGATGATTTGATGATTTCTTTTCCTCCTGAGTCTGTCTCTCCTCTCACTGCATTCACGCCTGTGTCCACTGCTCTGCTTCCTCCAGCAAAGACAGTACGTGGCTCCTCCCACACTGCCCTGCTACAGTCTGTGACTCACACAGCTCTCCCATCCTCTTTCTGGACACTAAAACTATGTTATATTACATAAAAATCTCTCAACAGACCGTTTTCTGAGATAGAGTCGGAGAAAAAGATAGCGTATATTGTTCATTTGATTAAAGCCGATGTAAAGCCCAAAGTGATTCTAAAGTATTTAAAAGTTCATATTTCTGTCATTCCTGGATCTATCAATGTAAAAAAAAAATGACTGAAAGATAAAATCCACCTCTGTTACAATATTTCAGCTGTAAATCCCTATGGAGCTGTTTTCTTGCTGCATTTGAGGAGGACGCTGCGATAACTGTTTTCCTTTCAGACCAAAATAAATGACAACAGAGCGCGCATGGAGGGACACGTGCAAATCAACACGTCTATCGAACAAACATGTGTATCGAATCATCAGACCTGTATCGAACAATTCAATATTATATCGAATATCGTTGCATCCCTACAAGCCGCTCACAGTGAGTACAAATGTTCCAACGTTTCCAGTGCAATATAGAAATCCAAAATGAAAAAATAGGCTTCTATTTTCTTCGGTGTAAAAAGTTACATGTAGTGCTTTCGTTGAGGGAAGAAAATATCAGTTTATAAAAGTATTTGGATATGTGCTGTCAGGGCCTAACTCTTACCCTTTCTTTTCTACATCTCTCCCTTTCTCCCTTTCTATCTTCCTCTCTTATACATGTCTTCACTCTCTCTTTCACATCCCTCCTATCTGTCTCTCACTCTTTCTATTCTACATTTATCTGCCTGTTTCTCTCCTTACCCCTCTCCCACATCTGTCTATGTCTATCCCTCCCCGTCTCTCTTCTACATGTCTGTCTCTCTCTCTCGTTCCATGTCCTCGTCGCTCTATATCCTCCTCTCCCTCTCTTCTTTCTCTGTCCCCCTGTCTTCTCCATCTCCTCCCCCTCTCCCCCTCTCTCTCTCCTCTCCTCCCCCTCTCCCGCTCTCCTCCTGAGCTGTGCAGCAGTAGTGGAGCGTACAGCTGTGACCAGTGTTAACAGGACACAGGGGATGAGCCAGTGTTTATCCACAAGAACAAAAGAGCCTCCCGCGACACAAACCACCTCACTGTTTTACATAAAGGTGGAACTACGCCTCTTTGCTCACATTATATAATTCAACTTTTAAGAGCTTTCAACCATTTTACATAATTACTTCTCACTCGTCCATTCAAAGCTGTACAGATGCATGCAGGTTTCAGTCATTTTTATTCTCCTGCAATTAAGACGCCATTGCTTTGAAAAAAACAACAACAAAAAAAACAAAACCGTTATCACCTACCCCACATACATGCCTTCAGCTCTTTACTCATTTTGATCTCACTGTTTTGTTTTATTTTTTCCAGTGAAGGAAGAAGTACTGGATTAAAGTACCCGTTTAAAAGAATATAAAGTAAAAGCATTTCACACACATTTTCAGGTTTTATGAAGCTTCAAATGTATTGATTTTGATACAGATTTGTGCTGAATTTTGTTCAATTGAAACAAATAAATGGGTTGTTTTTTCTGGCTGTTTTAATGTGTATATTTTTATTTACCTGTCTTTTTTTCAACTATAATAAAAATAAAGTAAAAAGTATCCACATGTCTTAAGTACAGATATCTACCTACATTTTTTGCTGAAGTACAGTACTTTACTACTTCTACTTTGTTACAATCCACCACTGTTTTTTTGGGGGTTTTTTTTATGGCGATACACATAGGATTTGGCAGTGATGTGCTGCCATTTTAGCACAAATTAGATGCTCAGATTGGCAGTTCAAATCCCGCTCTTGACATAAACATCATTGGTTGAGCAGCTGGTGTGATTCCAGCTTCCACAGATGAATGCTGCTTCTGTGTCCTTGGGCAAGACATTTAACCCATCTCACCCCCAGTGTCTGTGTATACTTGTGTATGAGAGTGTGTGCGCAAAAGACCGTGTGGTTTCTTGATGTAAATTGTTTTTAGTTTGAGTTAAAATTAAATAAAAATGTGACCATATCGTACTGTGCGTTTGCTGGAACAATATATTTTTGGGGCTCAGTATTTCTCATGGGCACTGCAATAGTGGGGAGATTTTAGCCATTTTTATGTCATTCAGAAAATAGAATAAATAACTGCTAGGGCTATATCAGTTCATTTTGCTATTTAGTGATAGTAGCTCAGGCCTTATAATGATACTGTCTAGTTAAAACCTCATTTAATGATTAGGGATGTAACAATAACCGAAATATCGAGATATCGTATTGTCAAAACTCTCACAATAATATCCTGGGTCATCACATTATATCGAATTACTAGTGCAAAGTCTCTTAAATGATGCTTAAATTAACAGTTATGGTGATTTTAATGTGATTTTTTATTCTGTAAAGCACTTTGAATTACTTTGTGTATGAATCGTGTCATACAAATATCTTCCCTTGCTATGGTGCAGCAATAGTTAAAAAACAAAGGGAACTACATAGACCATGATCCTTTGGTGTTGTTCATGCAGACTGTATGAAGAAATAATGTTATGAAGCACTTAAAGATCTTAATTCTTCATATTATAACAGTAACAAAGGCTTTCAAGGATTTTCCTGTGCTTTTTAAAAGGAAAAAGTAGTGTATTCACAATTTTGTAAGCTTCCACAAAATATCGCGAGAAATCCAACCATGAGATGCATATCGTGAAAATATCTTTACATCCCTATTAGACATTATCTTGCTTTGTGTCAATGGCAAATGTTTATTGCAATATTTATGTGTAATATAATGTGCTTCAAATTTTGGTATTGTGTCAAGCCTACCACAGTTCTAAAACCAGCTGACTTGTTTACTTTACTTTTTTTTTTTTTTTTAGCTCAATATTGCAATGTAGCTACAAATAAAAATGTGCTTCTCGCTACACTGAAATGACACTATGAAGAGTCAGGGCCAACGGCAGAGATTCAACAGGAGGCTAATGGACCAGCTAGTTGTTGGTTTTAGATCAATACTGCAGCTTACAAATCCAAAAATTCTTTAGAAAAAGACTTTGATTTCTAAGTTTGTCAAATTGATCCTCACTGAAAAGTTTGACAATCTCTCTGGTTTTCCTCTGCCTCTAAAAAGCCCCTGTGTGGTGTAGAGTGCTGCTGTATAAAAGCATGGAAAAGCTCTTGTCATTGTGCTGCTGCCTGGAGACCTGCAGACGCCTGGTGCAGCTCACTCCCATTGACCCTCATGTAAACACAGTCTGCTCCAGAGACAACGACACACAACAGGTCAACACCAAATCACCAGTGGAAAAGATACACAGAAGAGGAATAGTACTACTACCACTACCACTACTACTAATAAGAACTAAATACAACTATTTTACAGTAGTAGTAGTAGTAGTAGTAGTAGTAGTAATATTAGTAGTAGTAATAGTAGTAGTAGCAGAAGTAGAGATAGTACTACTACTCCTAAAAACTAGATAAGAACTAGACAGAGGTATTTTGTAGTAGTAGTAGTAGTAGTAGTAGTAGTAGTAGTAGTAGTAATAGTAGTAGTAGCAGAAGTAGAGATAGTACTACTACTCCTAAAAACTAGATAAGAACTAGACAGAGGTATTTTGTAGTAGTAGTAGTAGTAGTAGTAGTAATAGTAGCTACAGCATGTAAGATTATACTACATAACTACTACTACTCCTAAGAACTAGATAGAGGTATTTTGTAGCAGTAGTAGTAGTAGTAGTGGTAGTAGTAGTAGTAGTAGTAGTAGTAGTAGTAGTAGTAGTAATAGTAGTAGCAACAGCATGTAAGCTTATACTACACAACTACTACTACTACTACTACTCCTAAGAACTAGATAGAGGTATTTTTTAGTAGTAGTAGTACTGGTAGTGGTAGTAGTAGTAGTAGCAACATGTAAGCTTATACTACACAACTACTACTACTGCTGCTACTGCTACAGCTACTACTACCACTACTGCTACTACTATTCCTAAGAATGAGATAGAGGTATTTTGTAGCAGTTGTAGTAGCAGTAGTAGTAGTAATAGTAACAGTAGTAGTAGCAGCAACATGTAAGCTTTTACCACAGTACTATGACTCTTAAGAACTAGACAGAGGTATCATGTAGTAGTAGTAGTAGTAGTAACAGTAGTAGTAGCATGTAAAATTATTACTACTACTACTTCTAAATACTAAATAGAACTAAATAGAGGCAGTAGTAGTATGTAAGCTTACATGCTGCTGCTACTACTGCAACAATTACACTACTATTACTGCTACTCTTATTCATCTTTATACAGTGCTTTTCCACCTTCAAGGCACTCAAAGCACTACTACTACTACTAATACTACTACTACTACTACTACTGATTTTTCTGACAAGCATTGCAATTTAACTTTAATAAAAGGAGGTTGCTCAAGGTTTAAATTTTAAACATTTAAGAAGAATCGACAAATCTGAACTGACAAACTATAACAAGAATCATTTTCAGAACATGTTTGTACAGATTTAAACAACAAGGTTAGCAGCTTTTATGCTGAATAAAACAAGATATTTGGTTATTTGGGGAGGATAAAATGGTACTTATAAAAAGGCAGCAATTTTTTATTTACATCCATTCAAATTGCGCTTCATCTTTTAGTCCTAACCTGAATTATTCATAATAAATTACTTGTTCATTACGCATTCAGTTCTAGGTCACCATGCTTTACAATGGCAATTAATAATATTATCTATATGCATATCTCCAAACCAACAGTTCAAATATAATAGGCCTGTCATGATAATTGCTGTATCCACTTATCGTTCAATACATGAAAGCTGGAACTACATTTTGGAGGTCAGTATTTATTGTGTGTACTTTTTCTGTGCTTTACGAGGACGTTTTTTGTGATTTTTTTCTGCGGCTATATGACAAGATTTAAGCTGTAAATGGTTGAATTGATAACTTTTATAATTCATTACAGTTGCAAACTAAGAACTAAAGAGTATAATTCAGCTATTTATCTATTGCAGCTCATGATTTTTAAGAATATTGTACATTTAGAATAGATTTAGTGGTTTAAAAGTGCATTGTGTAATTTTTCTGGTGGAGAGTCCGTCACCTGCTTTTTTCTATGTCTGCCTGCAATGTCCCACAGTGTGACACTAAACAGTTCTACCTTTACATTTATTCAATTATAGTGGTTTTATTGCTCAAAAATACCTAGAAAAATGAGTTCTGACTGTGAGTTGGGTCACCTCTCCACAGATTTGACCTGTAACTTGGCCTGGTTTGGTCTCCATGAAGATAGAAAGGTCCAATATCATACTATGAAACATTCCAGACAAAGCAAAGTTACACAATGCAACCTTTAAATCTGCTCTTGGGTGGCATAAAGTAATTGCAGTATTTTTGTTTATCATCTATATTTACTCCAGCAATATATCGAACTTCAAATTTTGTTATGATGACAGTCCTACCTCTACTCTGACTGCGTTTTAAATGAACTGATAGTGCTCGACAATTTGTATTTTCTCCTCGTGCAGCTAAATGAACATAAAACAGCCGCAGAATGAGGGAGCGTGACGGAGCATAAATAATAGAAACACCTTTTTATATCAACACTTAACCTTGAATCGACAAGAGCTGCCCGGAATCACAAACAGACATTTATGATCGAGGATTTTAAATGGGGCTTATTTTTAGAGTGTCATAATAAACTGATGGGGGCGGCAGCGGCTTAGTCTTTAGACCATTTACCTGCTAACCAAAAATTCACTGGTTCAATTCCCTAGTGTGTCTTTGGGCAAGACAGTTCATCCTACACCTTTCATCCTTTCGAAACCTCGTAACTTATCATCACTTCGTCTCTGATGTTATTGCTTTCCCTGAATTGTTCCGCAGTGTCATATACCAAAAGTAAAAGTACAATACAAATTTTACCTAAGTAAATTTTACATTGGATAATTTTTACTTTAACTTTACTTTTACTTTACTTAATTTGAGAATGTGTATCTGTATTTCCAACTGTGCGTGCTGTCATTATGTCTTCTGGGCATCCAGTTTTTTAAAAGTACTTGTAACTTTTCCTCTCATGGTCTCTCTGATAGTATTGCTTTGTCTGAAATGTTCCGCAATGTGTACACCAATAATTATATGCTAAATTTAAAAGTAAAAAGCCAGAAGTAAAAGCCAGAGTGTTGGAGACGTGTGGAGACACTTTTTTTAATTATTCCATCCAATCCTTCTATTTGCAGAGGTTGCTGGTGCTAAGCTAGTGCATGTCAATGGCCATAGTTAGCCTGCCACTAAAAACAGCCTTACCCACTCCACAAAGCACCCGAGGCAAAACAGTTATTACACCAGACTGTCGATGTGAATGTCTGTGTCAAAAGAATACTTTTAGAAGTAAACCAACCTTGCATTTGAAGGATTTATGTCTGAGCAGCAACAGCAAGTTGTACTTCCTGATAGAAAGCT